GATAAAATAACGTTTATTATTTCTAGTTAAACTTCCATCTAATTCACATATATCAGAGTGTATAAGATCTAGGGGGTCAGATTCTTTTATAATTGATTTATGTGAAGTTTTTGTTATTTTAGCTTGACTGCAAAATTCACATTTATTGGAATCATTAACATTTAGTTTAGGGATTAGGCCTATGTTGCTTGCATTAAAAATGATTCGTTTATTAACGTGACAAAGTCTACCATGCCAAATATTAAAGTCACACAAAGAGTAAACAGAAGGAGAAATTTTATTAAAATCAACATTCAACTTAAACATGCCATCAGTGGCGTACCCTTTTTCAACAAAAATACCATTCTTAGTGATGGTGTACAAATCTGCCCCTAAAGTTTGATTAAACCCAGCCTTATTCAAAAGAAAACCAGAAACAAGATTCTTCCTAATTTCAGGAACATGCATGACGTCCTTCAAGATCAAAGTCTTTCCTGAAGTGAACTTCAGCTCAACATCTCCAATTCTAGCAACATTACTGGTGTGAGCATCTCCCAATAACACTTTCTTATCTTCAGCATTCATGTATGTCTTGAACATAGCACGATCATAGCAGACATGACGAGTGGCGCCAGTGTCTATCCACCAACCATCACTTCCACCAACCATGTTGATTTCAGTGATCATGGCAATGACTTGCTCATCAGTCAGGTTGACCTGAGCATTTGAGCCAGCTGCAGGTTTAGGCCTGCTCCTACATTTCTTTGCCATATGGCCCGGTTTCACACAGTTGTAGCAAGAGAAAACCGGAGTAACATTTCTTTGAGGTGGTGGCTGTTGCTTAGCAAATGGAGCCGATGGGGCCCTAGAGGGATTCCCATTCTTAGTTCGGTTCATAGCATTGCGGTTCTGATTCTTTAAAGGTTTGTCTGTAGGCTTCAGAACCGCACCGAATTTCTTTTTGTTGTTAGACACAACTAAGACTTCTTCTTTCTGATCTTGTTTCCGAGCCTCCTCTTCAATTCGGAGGCGGGTTATCAGACTCTCGATTGAAAATTCTTTTGTTTTGTGACGAAGCACATTTTTGAAATCTTTCCAACCAGGGGGCAGTTTGTCAACAATTACAGCAATTTGAAATTGTTCATTGAGGGGCATACCTTCTGTAATAATCTCATGAGCAATCTTCTGAATTTCGTGGCTTTGAGCTTCCACCAACTTCTCATCCACCATCTTGTAGTTCAAGTAGCGGCTGACAACAAATTTCTTCGCACCTGCTTCTTCAGTATCATATTTTCTTTGCAGAGCCTCCCATACCTGTTTAGCAGTCCTGTAGCTACTGTAGTAGTCGTACAGATCATCAGCAAGGCTGTTCAGAATGTGATTTTTGCACAGATAATCATTCTCGTGCCATAAGGCGATTTCTTTTCGGAGCTGTAGATCATCTGCTGCAGCCTTAACTTTTGCAGCATCTGAGTCAGACGTTTTGGAAATCCCGTCTGAATCTGCAAGTGAGTTACCATTAGGTAGTTCAGATGATGCAGAAGGGACAACCGGGATATCCTCAGTCAAAACGTGGGCAACCTTTTTCAGAGTTAAGAAAAACTTCATCTTAGCTTGCCAACGTTTGAAATTGGAACCCTCAAACCTGAAAGGTTTGTCAGAGACCGGAGCGGCCGCAGTAGTACCGATAATTTCCTCAGTTGCCATGACAGTAATTAAAACGTCTTAAAATTGTTGTTTTCGGATTTGAAAAATTGAGTTTGGCACAAGGAAATTATCGGGACGAGTCGCGTACTAGGTCGCTTTCTTTAAGACGTTTCGTCGTACTGCCAAAATATGCAAAGCAGTCGATTTACGACGACGCCTCCAAGATAAAACAGCTTGTTCAAAAAACTTACGATTATCAGTTGCACACTGATAAATCGCTCTAGAAATACACCTCTCTAAGTATCTGGTGAAAATAACCAGTCAAGAAAAGAAAGATTTTATATGAAGAGAATTAAGGGAGAGAAGAGGGAAATTAAAATTCGTGTGAACTTGTGAAATCCGATGTACTCACTACTGAATTTCTACCCTGTATTTATAGGCAGCTACCTGCACCTGAGTAGGGAGAAATTCGTGGTGAGTGGAGAAAATGGTGGGAGAATGAGAAAATCGTGGAGGACTGGATCTGGTCAGTATGACAGTTATTGACCAATTATTTTCTTAATTAATTAATATTATTATTAATTAATTTTCCACCGAATTATATTAATTAATTAATGATAATTAAATTATATAAATTCGGGTCCAAAAAATAATTCTTCTAGGCTGGAACGAACCGAGCCGGCCTGCCGGCCGGACGGTAAAGGCGGCGCGCGCGTGTGTCTAGTTGGTCATGGGTGTGTCCTCACTCCTTTCACAAAATTGGATGCCCTTTAGGGCCCAACCCAATTGACCAAGTTGGAATATATAAACACTACTAATATTTCCATTCCCTTCAATGTGAGACTAAAATGAATCTTTTCAAATTCACTTCTATATTAGTTCTTACTTGTGTTCATTTATTGCCCATTAATTGTCAATAAATCTTTCCAATTCCCACTCTAATTAATAAAATTCCAACACTTTTTCTCTTATAGCCAAGCTTACCACTATGAGAATTTTACTCTTTATTATTGCACAAAAACAATGAAATTTTATCCAGTTAGACATCAATGATGCCTTTCTTAATGGTGATCTATATGAAAAAGTCTATATGCAGCTCCCTAAGGGTTATCCAATCAAGGGGGAGAACTTTGTATGTAAACTCAACAAGTCACTATATGGATTAAGGCAAGCATCCAAACAATGGTATCAAAAGTTTAACTTAACTCTTACTTCAATAGGTTTTGAACAGTCCCCAACATATCACACTCTATTCTTTAGTGGAAATGGCCCATCTTTGGTCATCTTATTGGTGTATGTATATGACATGGTACTAGCATGCCATGATTCTCGGAGATTGAAATAAATTGAAGAAATATTATGACAATATTTTAAGTTAAAAGTTTGAGGAGATATGCATTATTTTCTTGGTCTAGAAATTTCTAAATCCAAGAAAGGCATCTACCTTTGTCAAGGAAATTACACTCTTAAACTTTTCCAAGATACATGTTACATTGTATCCAAACCTACATCAGTTCCCTTAGATTTTGATGTCTCATTTAATGATATTTATGATGAACCACTATAAGACATTTCTAGATATTGATGATTGATTGAGAGACTTATGTATTTGACAATCTTGGACCTGACTCTTTGATTCGTCGCAACCCCAAACCGCTTCTTTAATCTCTTCATCCGTGAAAGGAGCTTCCAAGAAACAAACTTCTGAGATGCTAAGAGTTTTGGTCGAAATACCCTCCAGAATAGGTCTATCCACTTCGGGTTCCCTATACTTCTGATGGAAAAAATTCCACACTACTTCCTTGATAGCATCCGCATCTTCAACCACCCCAAACTGTGTATTAACAACCCCTAAAAATTTCCTCCTTGTCTTACCTTTGATCACTGTATGGAAATACCTATAGTTAGAGTCCCCGTCACGAATCCAATCCACTATAGCCTTTTGAATAAGCATGTTATCTCTTATATATAAGTGTCTCCAAACTGAACTAATAACTTCACTCCTTCTAGAAACCAACTCCTTAACTTCATCGTTAACACATTTCAACAACAGTTTATCCACCATGTCGATATCTTTAACTCCTTCCTCTACTCACATATCGTGTCAACCGAACACCTCCTTATTCCATATTTATAACCTTTCTTTCAAGAACTTAAGCTTTTCTTTGATAACGAAATCGCTCCTACCTCTAACACTGAAATCTTCCATTATACCTCCACGAACTTCATAAAATTCTTATTATCAATCCAAGAGTTATTGAATTTAAACTGTTTGGCTCTCAAATCCTATTTTTAAACCTTAATCCAAATCAGACAATGGTACGAAATATCCCTATCTCCAACACTTCGGCTCACCACTCCCCAACTTTCCATGAGAGAATCCGAGATAATATTTTTTATCTATCCTACTCATAGACTTACCGTCACCGATAAACCAAGTAAAATCATTATCAAAACAAGGCACGTTAACAAGATTAGCTTCTTCAATGAAATTCTTAAATTCCCTCTGCTCAGTTCTACGGTTAACCTGCAGACTGCCCTTTCTTTTACAAACATTAGAAACAACATTAAAATCTCCCTCAATCACCTAAGGACCATCAACCAACTTCTTCTCTTCTGTTTATGATTTTTTTACCCTACTCAAAGTCAATTTTACAATATTGTTTTGTTGTATATGAACTCTTCTATCATTTAAAAATATAAACAAGTTGTCTTAAATGAGAAGGTTGTTCAATGCAAAACCAAAAAATAATCTAAAATAACTATGATGTGTACTCACAAGCCTAGACAAATATAAATCTTATAAAACATAAACCTTAGCAGATTACATGATATTTGGCATCTACTAATACATTTAATAAAAAGTTGGAAAAATTATGAATTTTTCAATGCTATCAAGAAGAGACAATCTAGCACATAAAAAGTGCACTTGAGCAATACACTAAACGACTTATTGGACAACTTTACTTCTTATATGATGCGTAGGGGACAATAAAAAATACAAACAAAGTTATATAAAATTTACTACAAAATCTAAACTAAAAAATAAAAAGAAAAAAGAAAAAAGAAAATATGTACTTTGCGAAGAAGATAAAAAGAAGATGTGATATTACTATGAGATATTAGATAAGGCTGAAACTAGAACTTAATCCTTGAGGGGGGTTTAAATAGAAGAGCTTCAAAAACAATAACTCATCAATGTAAGATTTTACCCAACAAAACACAACAGGACAGAAAATTCTTGCTGAGGAACACCAAATACAAGTGGCTCTTTTACAATAAATAAAAATGAAAATGAATGTGTATGAGACTAAAACAGGAACAATTCAAAATTGTGTTGCTTAGATAGCATGTGATGCATAATGCATTGCATCCTACTGCAGAGAAATAAATTGAGCAGGCCAACTGCGTCTCCGGCCATCAGGACTTACACCAGCAGCTTCCATGGAAATGTCAATGCTACGATGCTCAGTAGAGCGAACAATGCTGACACACAGATCAATCTTTGCAGCAGGATAGACTTCAGTGCCAATAGTTTCTGGTTTTCTCGCATTATCTTTACCAGATCCAATGGCAATAGGCTCCCGGAAAGTTAAGATTGTTTGTGACCAGTGTGTTTTTGGAGTAAAAGGGGATGTTGACAACACAGCTGGTGTTTCCCGGCAGAATCTAGATGTAAATCCAGTATCAAACCATAGGACAACTCCATAACACCAGCAACATGTTTTAGAATTCAAATGTGTTTTCCCGTTTTCTGAAGTGCTTGATTTTGGTTCCAAAGAAGCCGTTGCGGTGAAATCCACTTCATCGGGCTTCATGGTAGCCAAGTCAAAGGTCTGGAAGAGGAAAAAAACACACATTTACATTAAGGATAGATAATTCACCAATATAATGTTGTGTAACATATTCACATTACACAAAAGGCACAAACCTGAAGAATAGTAGAACTGGTAACTAAATCTTGATGGTCTATAACATCAACTATAGGATATCCGGCAGCGTCTGTAACAAGCTCCTCCCCAATGCTAGACATGTCAAAATCACACACGTTCTCCCAAAATGGAAGACTTGTACCTCCTTTTCCAAATCCTGCAACAAACTATGAAGAGAAATGGAGTTTATTAAACCTCAAATAAAATAGTGTACTATCGCTGCTACTACTGCATGTGCTGCAACGACCAAGGGCCACCCCGCTACAGCTCTATGGTGCTATTGACAATGTTGGTAAAAATTATATAGTTCTGAGGTGGAATGATAGCAGAAGGACTCACAATAGTTGCTGTGTCAGGAAGAATGGCACCTCCAGGCTTCAAATACCGGTCGCGTGCATAAAGCACTGAACCAAGCATGGATTCATACAGCAGGCAATATCCCATCCATTCACTTAACAATACATCAACACTGTGAGGTTGAAGTTCAACAATTTTGTCAATTTCTTCAACCATGCCATGAACCACTTCTACGACTCCTTTCTGGTTGCCATTGACTCTAGCTTCATTTTTATTCAACAAGAGGCTGTTATCTTTTGCAACCTGAATTAAATTTGAAGGAAAACAAAGTGAGCGAGGAAATAAGCATGTGGTTGAAGAGTTTCTAAAGAAGCTACCAAGCAGGAAATCTATACCCGAGATGCCACTGCTGCCATCTTCGCACTAGCCTCAACTGCAATGACCCTCGAAGCCCCTGCCTGAGCTGCAAAAAGGCTAAAACAAATAATAATATAACGAGGTCAGAAAATTTCAAATGTTTGAGCAGCCAAATATGAAATTTGAATTTACAGCCCCGAATCCTGAATACACACGCTTCATAACTGTGTTGTATATCATAATCATTGCTTCCTAAAATACGCAAAAAAAACTTAAACAGTAACTATCAATTTGAGTTTGTATATGTAAATAAGATTACTGGATTCTGTCACTGCCATACAATACAATATGTCATCATAAGACCCTTTAAATACATGGCAATTGGGTTATAGTTAGACAGTTGTTGGTTTAGTTAGTTACAGTTAGAAATCTATAAGGGGAAGAGAGAGATGTAAATTGAACCAAGATTTCACAAAAGTCAAGTATGTTTCTCACCTGAGGATGCCAGTTCCACAACCTACATCCATAACCACAGCACCATTTAGTAGAGAGGGATTCTTCAAAATTGCTTGACCATAAGCATCCATTCTAGCCTACATAAAATTAGCTGTGACTTTAATAAAACAATAATAAATTAGTCAAAAAAAAATTTTAATTAAAAAATAAAAATAAATAAATAAATAAAAAAACACGCAACACCATTTATTCGAACCTGAAACCAAAAAATGAGAAGTTCATTTTATACCTTATCACTTAACATCTCTCGATGGATGCCAAATGAGCTGTAAGACCCAAAATAACTTTCATTAACCTTCTTGATATGCTTTGCAATGTGACTATGAGGGTTACCCATCAAAGACCCTTCTTCTGGATCCTTATCAATAGATGAAACACATCCTCTTGAGTAGTTCCCATTAACAAGCTCCTTAGCTGAAGAGCTAGGCAAGTTTGAATGTTCACTTGAAACAGAAGCTGTCTCCTTTCTTTTACAATCATCATATGCATGGTCATTAACTACCAAATTTTTCACGGCATCTTGATCAACATCGTTTGTTTCTAGAGCGTTCTTCAAATCCCTCACGAGATCTTCATCAACATCGTTTGTTTCTAGAGCGTTCTTCAAATCCCTCACGAGATCTTCATCAACATCGTTTGTTTCTAGAGCGTTAATCAAATCCCTCACGAGATCTTCATCCATGATTAAAGTTTGTTCATCTTCACCTTCTTCAAATTCACCAAAGTTGTACAGCAATGAATCATCTTGCATGAAAGGTTTTAGATATCTATCATCATCCCACAAAGGCTTAATAGCATTGGAGTCAATTACATCATGCAAGTGATTTTGCAAATCATGTTTGGACTGAAAAGCTAACCCACAACTCCAACAACTGTTCTCTGATACCTGGTTGAAAAAAGAATAACAAACCAACTGTTAGCAAAGTCACTCACTTACGGTCACAATTGAAATCTCCTATATAGTACTTAATTTACAAAATTATTAACATACAAAAATTGTTCTGAAGCTGAAAATAAAACAAAGCTAGAAGAACTTCTTTTCCCTAAAAACAACATGATCAAGAATATTGGATACATTTTATCAAAAAAGAGAAAGAAAAAAAATTGATAAATTATCTGCTTTTACTATCGTCAACAACAAGTAAAGAGGGTGAAGTTTGTGTGTACATTTGATTTCACTTTGGTGAGAGGCAAAAGTGATACTAGAAGCATAAAAATGATTTTGGTATTTATGTTCTACCAAGTATAATTGCTTTTGACTCCAAAATCCATTGTAACTAAGAAGCTGAGATTCAGAACCTTTTGCCTATAAGCTTGATTTTAAGCCTGAATATTTTACATTTCAATTCACTTTTATGTGAATATACTCAAACATAAATTAGCTTAAATTCATCTCATTTCTAACCTTCCATTTTTTAAAGCTGGTGGCCAAGGGCAGCCTGATTGGACGTTGAAGCACAAACACCGACACGACAACATCGGCAATAATAACTTGAAAAAATGATTAAATTATACTTAATCACAAGTGTCGGACGGTTTCGGACGCTGACACACCATTTTTGAGAACCAAAATTCATTCATTCAAACTTAATTTTCATCACTAAACCTAACAAACATTTGTATGATCCAAATTGGTTGAATCCAATCTTAAATTGATAAAAAACACAAAATAACCAAACATTAAACCCCTAAATTTACATGCTAAGTAATTGTTATATCTATAATTCAAAATACGACCTTGGATTCAATTTCTTCAGTCCCAGACATGTCAAGATCAAAATACACTTATTAGAATTTCTAAAAGTGTGATTAGGTAGTTACCTTTGAGCGAATATAGTTAATGAGCTTGAAGGAAGCATAGAAATCCAAGTTCAGAGAATCTCTAAGAGCATGAAAATCGAAGTGGTGAATCGAAGTGCAATGTTGGAACAAGGAGGTGCAGGAATCGTGATTGGAATCACAGAAGAGACAGAGGAAATCAGAGTCTGAATCTCCGTCATCTCCTTCCCAATCGTCCCACACTTCTTCTTCTTCGTCGTCATCGTCTTGTTCTTGTTGTTCTACTGTGTATGGAGTTTTTCCTTCTTCGTTTTCGTTTTCGTTAGTTTTGAAAGCCATTGATGAATTGGGAGTGTGAAAAAGGTTAAACCCTTCGGAAACCCTAAAACTGAAACCTGTATGTGTGAAATTAATTGTTTGACTAGGGTTGGGTTTTAGAATACCCGCACCCGCCCCAAAGGGTAAATATTTACCGCTAAGACCCGTTTTCAGTAGAAAACAGGTACACCCGCACGTTCCGCTACCATCTAAAAAAATTATTTTTTTTTAATTGAAATAAAAATTAATAATTTAATTAAAAAATTGATTATTTTAATTAATTAATTAATTATTTAAATAAAATTTTAATTAATAAATAAATATTAATTTGATTAATTTAATTATTTTAATTACAATAAACGTATTAATAATTTAATCAAAAATATAATTAATAAATGAATATTAAAATAAATAAAATATGAGAATTAAACTAAAATATATTATTCGGGGGCGGGGCGGGGTCGGGTGCGGGCGAGTCTTAGTGTCTCCCCGCACCCGCACCCGTAATTAAAAGTCGGGTTTTTCTCGCACCCGTACCCACTCAAATCGGGTTTTCTCCGCTAATTTTAGGGCGGGTCCGGATTTTTTTGCCATACCTATGTTTGATGTTAATCACACGGTTAGAAAAAACATATTTGATTTTCTTGAAACTATTATTATTAAATCAAAACCCTTTCATTTTAATCATAGTCTAACTAATAAAATAAACATAGGTTTTCAAATTGGTTTGCTAAAAATAATTACGCGAATAAAAGTTGGTAAAATGTATAAGAAAGTCATTAGATCTTATTCGAATTCTTTAATTTTTTTGTTAAAGATTATGCATTACTTGAATGGATTTGACTTTACCATTTAACGACGAATTAACAATACCAATGCACTTAATTCTTTGGTGTATAGCTCACTGATTAAGACTACAATTTCTTAATTTCTTAAGCGAATTCGAAGTAAAACTAGGTGATCTACGTGCATTAGTTCTCTAGCCACAATTTATAATTACATGTTCCTAATTAATTAAACAATTGCTTTATTTACTATCGGTAGACTTATTGTCAATAATCTATACTCATTTAATTTCATTTTGCGCACTCGTTAACACGCAAAGAGAATTAAGAATAAAAACTATTTAATAGAAATTAGAAAATTAAACATTCAAATAACATCAAACAATCATATGATCCAACATAGTAAACACAAGTCCATTTTCTAATACTCAATCATGAGAAATCTAGCTACTCATAATTAAACAATAAAATACCATGATTATAGATGAAGAGTACATGAAATTTAATGAAGAAATATGTCTCTAATGGAAAAAATGACTAGTTAAGTCAAGTTTTTGGAGAGATTTTTCACGAACGCTAAATTTGTGGAGAGAATAACATAAATCTCAAATTTTGACCAAGATGGTTCTGAGTCGTTGTCTCGTGCATTGGAGAGATTCAAACTATTACTCAAAAGATGTCCAAATCACAACAAGAACAGATGCAACATTTCATTAGAGGTTTAAAAACTCAAGTAAGAATGCTTCTCGACGCCTCAGTTGGAAGAACTATTAGGACAAAGACTGAAGATGAAGTGAGAGAGTTGATTGAAAGAATGTGTCAAAAGGAATATGTTAAATTTGAATGCGTGAATGTATGGTTATTTGACATCACCAAATTTGGGTCCTATATATGTGAAATTGTATACAATGTTTTAAAATCTAAATCAATTGTCGACCTAGTCAAGTTATTAAATCATTGAGTTATTAGTTGAATCACTAGATTATTGGTATCCAATTTATACAAATTATAAATAAAATATATTCAATGAAATAAAATTCTTAACATAAATTTCATAATTATAAAATTAAAAAAAAAATCTATAAAATTATTCATCGGAATAAAATTCAAGTTTATTAAAAAAAATCACTCAACATGATGAGAGTTGTCAAAGTTTATCACACTTGTATGGATAGACTCATTTGGTTTACTCATCGTAAGCACACTCATGCACCTATCGTGTATATGTAGAATAAATGAGTTCAGTTTGTAACTAACTTTTATGATTGAATAACAGAGCTACTCAGAGCTATGCTCTATTCATCTCTTTCACTTCCATTCTCTAAGTATTCACCATTCATTATTATTCATAATTCATCATGGTTGTGTAAATTCAATATGGTATATGTAGATTTTCTCTTCAAATATTACTTTGGCAAGTTTTGATTTTTATTTCCGCTTTCGATCTTGATTCAATATCTCATTTTTTTGTCATCACCATGGAAGATCAGCAGTATAATCTGTTTTTCATTCACCATTCAGATCATCCCGGTCTTGTTCTAGTTTCACACCTCTTGACGAAAGAAAATTATTCGTCATGGTGTCGTGCCATGATTATCGCTCTCCGTGCGAAGAAAAAATCGAGTTTGTCAGTGGCTCGATTCTGTAAATCTCCTGATAGTGATCAGCTCTGGCGTCAAAACGATAATGTTGTTACATCTTGGCTTCTGAATTCAGTTTCCAAAGAACTCACCGCCATCATTCTTACCCTTTATATCTAATAACAATGAATACCCAACACTTCAACCTTCATATAAATAATTCATATGTCAACTTTCCACAATTTATGAACCTTCTTTTTACCATCAAGTTGTTTCTAGACTTGAATGGAGACATGTCATGGAAGAAGAGATTGTTGCATTAGAAGCAAACAACACTTGGTCTATTTAACCATTACCCAAAGGAAATTAAACTGCTGGGTGTAGGTGGACATACAAGGTTAAATATCGAGATGATGAATCTCTAGATAGATATAAGCCACACCTGATTTCCCAAGGTTTTACTCAATAAGCTATAGTTGACTTTCTATATACTTTTTGTTGTTTTCGGATTTGAAAAATTGAGTTTGGCACAAGGAAATTATTGGGACGAGTCGCGTACTAGGTCGCTTTCTTTAAGATGTTTCGTCGTATTGCCAAAATATGCAAAGCAGTCGATTTACGACGACACCTCCAGGATAAAACAGCCCGTTCAAAAAACTTACGATGATCAGTTGCACACTGATAAATCACTCTAGAAATACACCACTCTAAGTATCTGGTGAAAATAACCAGTCAAGAAAAGAAAGATTTTAGATGAAGAGAATTAAGGGAGAGAAGAGGGAAATCAAAATTCATGTGAACTTGTGAAATCCGATGTACTCACTACTGAATTTCTACCCTGTATTTATAGGCAGCTACCTGCACCTGAGTAGGGAGAAATTCGTGGTGAGTGGAGAAAATGGTGGGAGAATGAGAAAATCGTGGAGGACTGGATCTGGTCAGTATGGCAGTTACTGACCAATTATTTTCTTAATTAATTAATATTATTATTAATTAATTTTCCACCGAATTATATTAATTAATTAATGATAATTCAATTATATAAATTCGGGTCCAAAAAATAATTCTTCTAGACCGGACCGGACCAGACCGAACCGAACCGAGCCGAGCCGGACGACCAGACAGACGGACGGACGGCGGCGGCGCGCGTGTGTCTAGTTGGTCATGGGTGTGTCTTCACTCCTTTCACAAAATTGGGTGCCCTTTAGGGCCCAACCCAATTGACCAAGTTGGAATATATAAACACTACTAATATTTCCATTCCCTTCAATGTGGGACTAAAATGAATCTTTTCAAATTCACTTCTATATTAGTTCTTACTTGTGTTCATTTATTGCCCATTAATTGTCAATAAATCTTTCCAATTCCCACTCTAATTAATAAAATTCCAACATTCCCCCACTTGAATTTAAAAGAGATTTTAGAAGTACATCAGACGTTTCTAAGGTTGAGCATAAGCAAAGGTGTCTACGACTTGAACCTTAGCGTAACGAGTAGGATTCTGATTCAACAAGAGTGACACCATTGTCTTGAACTCTATCTCGGACATCAGACCCGCACACAACCTTTCCGTAAGGTGTATTCTTGTAGCCCGTGCTTTAGTGGCCATTCACGTGTATCCCGGTTTAGTGAATGCTCTAGGAATTCTGCCTCGAAATTCCATAGGAACCGGCCTCAGTTCCACAGTCATATAGGTGAATCTATCAAGAGTACTCCTGTAGCCTAGGTACTCCCTCATACAGAGTATAGATCTCATTAAGAGTTTCTATTATCTCATCCTCTCATTACTTCAGGATTCATGCTTTACATGATCATTTTCATATTACTCACAACTTGTTATTACCCATTGAACCTAAGTCTTGGGATCTCCAGTCATTTAGGTCGGGTTACCATCATGAGTAACTAATTGCTTTATAGGCATTAGTCACATCCTTTTGGAAGTATTATGGACTTTTTCTCTAGCTAATCCTTTCGTCAAAGGATCTGCTATGTTCTCATCAGTGCGTACATGATCCACTCTCACAACTCCTTTAGAGATACAATCTCTAACAGTGCTATGTTTTCTTCTAATTTGACGTCTTTTACTATTATAATAACGGTTCTCAACTTTTGTAATAACCGCGGTACTATCGCAGTGGATCAACACAGCTGGTATAGGTTTTTCCCATAAAGGAATTTCAGCTAGCAAGCATCTTAACCAACTTGCTTCTTCACTAGTTGTAGCTAATGTTATCATCTCAGACTCCATTGTGGACTGTGCCAGAATGGTCTGTTTCTTTGATTTCCAAGATACAGCTCCTCCGGCTATACTAAATATATAACCACTAGTAGCTTTGGAATCATCCGATAATGTGTTCCAATCTGCATCACTATACCCTTCTAGTAAGCAGGAAATTTCTGATAGTGTAGGCCGAGGTCCATAGTCCTTTTAAGGTACCTCATTACTCGCTCAATAGCTTGCCAATGTTCGTTACTCGGCCTACTTGTAAATCTGCACAACAATCCTACGACATATGCAATGTCGAGTCTAGTACAATCAGTGGCATACCTAAGACTGACAATGATGTTCGCATATTCTGCTTGTTTGACACTTTCTCCAGTGTTCTTAAACAGTTTCACACTTGGATCATACGGAGTGCATGCAGGTTTACAATCA